ACTACTACTACTACTACTACTACTACTACTACTACTACTACTGCTATTACTACTACTACTACTACTACTACGTCGACCAAGGTAGACATGATGCTTCTTTGAGTCGGGAACAACAGATATCACTCCAAACTTCACAGTCGGTCATGACGGTGGCCAGCTCTTTAGTTGATGTCAGTTGTGTCATTGACAGCAAACTTTTCGCAAAAGTTTTGATGGGTTTACCGCGTTTAAGGTGGCCGTGAGTAGGCTCCCATAGAATGACTTTGTTGGTAGGTATCTTAGGATGTCTGTAGCAGTGACCAGCAAGTCGTAGTTGTCTTGCCTGAATCTTTACCGAGATGGGGGGAAGATTTCCGTACAGTTCTTTATTTGTCACATGGTCCTTCCAGCTTATATTCAATGCAGCTCACAGCATCCTAGTATAGCAGCCATCAAGAGATTTAGAAAGGACCTTAGTGAGGGTCCAAGCTTATCGTATAAGATAATCGTCTCAATGGTTGCTTGGAAATACCCGAGTTTCAACTTTCTTGACAGGCGGGAATGCCATAGTTGATTCATGTTATTGAGAGCCTGCCAGGCCCGTGCTTTTCTAATTTTAATGTTTTTTCCGAGCTATTCATCCATGAGCCCAGATACTTAAAGTTCTCAACACAGTTAAGAATAGTGCCATCAGTTGATTTGATGGGTACATGGTAGGGGATATTGCACATCATGTATTCGGTCTTCTTCGCATTCAGGTGCAAGCCTACTCTGCTACATTCATTCTGGACACGAGCCAACAGTTGTTGTGCTTCGTTTATCTGGTTGGAAAGCAAAGCAATATCATCAGCAAAGTCGAGGTCGGATATTGTGACCGGGCTGCTTTTCTTAGATCTTCTGGGCGTGATGGTAAATCAAAGATGCTCGTGATCCTGCAGGGCCTGTCTGAGGGCATAGTTTAATACTATGATGAAGAGATATGGGGCGAGAGTGCCTCCTTGTATTACTCCTGCAAGAATTTCGAACATGTCGCTTTCACCATCAGGTGTAACAACTCTGGCGAAAAAGCCGAAGAAGCCGTGGCGGTATTCCGTAGGCTTGAAGGATTTTCATCATTTTCTCACGGCGAACAGAGTCGAATGCCTTTTTGAAATCTATGAAGGTAATTACAGCTGGAAGATTGTTCTTTTTCACTTCTTCAATAATTCTACGTAGAGCGAGGATTTGAGCAACCGTACTCCTAGCCTGTCTGATACAAATCACGCTATGTTATTAAGTTGTTTTCACGGCACAAGCTGTCTGCATAAATGTCTTCGAGTCGGTAGGTCATTCGACAACGCAGCAGGTGTGCGTAACGGTTCACTTTGTGCTGGCACTTGCTAGTGTAACGATTTTGGCTTCTTAGTTTGGCTTCTTAGTTTGGCTTCTTAGTTTGGCTTCTTACTGTGAGCGCGTGCGCGTGCAGCTTCAGCTTCATTGAATCTGCTTCATGTTT